AATAAGCTAAAGTACGAGGTTGCGGCATTTGATGTTTCGAGAGGCAGAGATCTTGGTGAGTTTGAACAAATAGCGCAGTCCGACTGATATATCGTAGCAAGCTTGACCGGACCAGGTTAGTTTGCGAAGAATTAACATTCTATTCCTATCACTAACTATTCATTCTCGGTGATGATAGGTATCCCTCTCTACAATGACGCCCGCGCAGGTTTCAATCTTACGCGTAAAAAATCGTTTGCCGAAGTCACCTCAAATGCAGAAATTGCAGCCAGACTCCAAGCAGCCTATGGCACTGTTGACAAGTGCGAAGCGTTTGCCTGTGCACATGCTGAAGATCACATTGATGGCGCCAATGTTGGGGAGCTTGTCTACACTGCTCTCATCCGGCAGTTTGATCGCTATCGCGTTACTGACCGATTCTGGTTTCAGAATTATTTCAGTGCAGATGAGCAGCAGACGTTCCGTAAAAGAACCTTTAGAGATGTCATTATCGATAATTTGACACCGGATGAACTACCGCAGGACATAACATTTCCAGGAAGCATTTGGACTGTTTTGCCACCAGTTGATAATACTATCACTAATGCACCAAATCCGACAGCCACTGGAATAACCGATCCATATCCAGGAGACATGACTAGATGGCCAGAATATAAAATACGCTTTGGCATCAAGGATAAGACCCTACAATTTTCAATCACTTTTGCAACTGAAAACGGAAATGGCTGGTTTGGTATAGGCTTTGGTCCATCAGATGATGGCATGACAAACGCCGATTTTATCATAGGCAAGGTGTCATCTGGTTCGGCCAGTTTAGGGAACTACATTTCCAAAGGATACCAACCACCAGTTCTCGATTCGGATCATCAGGACTTTGCGTTGACCAGCACGACACTTAATGGGACCGTTTACAATATTGAATTCAATCGACCCATCGCTGCAGCCAATCCAGGCAGAAAGGAGATTACAGAGGGGCAAATGAAAGTAGTCATGGCTTTCAACCCTACAACAGACGTTGTTACATACCACGGATCCAGAAATAGAGTTAGACAGATTGTTGATTTTACTCTCGGCCAGGTTGTAAACATACAAGATGCAGCCATAGCAGCTTCTCCGGAAAGACAACGGCAGACCAGATTGGCTCATGGAATTGGAATGGCCATAATTTGGTGGTGAGTCGAGTTTTTTTCTTAAGATTGCTTAATGTTATCAATTAACCAGCACTGATAATATCTGTTCATTTACAGCATAATCTTTCCAATCTCGATTTACGTTATTAGATATTACAAACATACCACGTTTTATCTAAAGTTTCACAGAAACATGCAATTGTTTGGCGTGTTGCTTGTTGGTACATTTGGTGCTGCTGCCATTGCTACTATTGCCAACATACAAACGAATCATGCAAAGTAAGTAAAATTACGACTAAACAGCCCCCTCATTGCTGTGTTAGTTAATTATTTGCTCTTTTTTTGTAGAATTGGATTAGCAGTCTATATTGCTACTTTCTTTCAAATGTTATTTGGATTGACTACTTATTGGTCACTGCAAAAAAGTGAATCTGTTAACGAAGGTCTTCTCAGGATTGTTAAAAGAACTCACCGTTATTTTGGCATTCTCCTTATGATTACTGCATGGTAAATATGGGTTATAGTATAACTGTGACGCACAGTCCTTAGAGCAAATGCCATACGATTACTATAATTTCTCACTCTATTAATCAATTCACACATCACTTATCCATACATAATAGGTTCTCTCTATACTTGGGCATAAACGTATATTGTCTTACATACAGCGTAGATAGGGTTCCTTGGCAGGCAGCTTTGGTCGGTTGTGTAGCTTTAATTTGTTTAATTTTCGCGTCGGGTCAACTCTGGAAATTCATGGGTGGAAAATGTCAGTTTAAAGCCTGCACCAGAACTGAAGCAGAAGAAAAAACAGTTGACGTATTTTTTGATGGCGCAAGACTTAATATGATGCCTGACTTCACGTGGGATCAAGTTAATGAGGGTGTACAGAGAGGAGCGTTTTTGGTTGTTTGTGATGGATTTGTGGCAGATATTAGAAGATGGATTCATTCACATCCGGGTGGTGAGAAGATATTGCATCGTGTTATTGGCACGGATATAACTAATGGTATGTATTACAAGAAATAAAGATAGGGAATTGTTATGCGACAATTTGATATTATGTACTTTTATTATTTACTCACGTATTCTCCTAAACATCTGCCATCAGATTTTTACAACATTCACAGAATAACATCATTACCAAAAGAAGAGATAGATCCGGACCTTTCCAAAGACAAAAACGACAAGATAGCATATTCAAAAGGAGCCCATCTTGTGAGCCCTGTGTTAGGAAACTATCCGCATCTGTGGGCCCAACAATCTCTCGACCCTGAACCAAATCTTCGCAAACGCAAAACGTTGTCTGCAAAAATTGACGATTTCAACATTAGACGTTTCCATAAATCATCTGAGCCGATCGCCAGACACAAGCACACGAATTTTGCAGTGATGCAGTTTGCTAGCATGGTAATCGGAAAAATAAAAGGGGACAGTTACGATGAACGGAACGTCGATGCGTCTCCGACGCCAACGACGTATGAACAGTCATATTTTAGACCACAACAACAACCGTACTCTGACGCGGATCTCAAAAAGGATACTTCAGCTCGAGTTTTTAAAAGATATCAGCTGGTCGACAAGGCATTGGTAAATGGAGATCCGGAACATCCCGTCATAAAATTCACTTTTATTAAACTTCATCAGCTGAAAACCCCCAAGAATGATCGCATTATGCCGGGAGATTACATCGAAATCCAAGCCCGCGTGAAGGGTCAAGTGGTTGTCCGTGCTTACACTCCAGTCGAAGGCCGAATATCGCACAAGTTCTCTATTGTTGTGAAAATCTATGAACATGGTCTAATGTCTCAGCATCTAGCTCATCAAAGAATTGGGTACGAACTCAAAGTACGGGGTCCATTTGACTTGTCGGATCGTGGTGGAGTGACCCATATGACACAGAATGAATTATCGACTATTCTGGGACGTAGGTTTAGTACAACACATAGTGTAAGATCGAACCTATCAAGTGAGTCAAATACGACAGATAAAACGGCCCACTTACTGTTAAATCCGAACAACTTTGACCGTTGTTGGGATGAATTGGTTATGATTGCCGGAGGAAGCGGAATTACACCAATGTTGCAGGTAGGTTAATTAGGTTGGGTTGGAAATTTTGTGTCATACTATCTATGCGTATCGCTCTAGCTAATCTTCCTATTATTCTGTTCCCTCGACCAAATAGTTAATCAATTACTATCTAAGCACCCTCGCCAACAATCGAGATCGCCACATTTCTATGCATCTACTTTTTGCAAATAGAAGAATTGAAGATATCATTATGGGTCTCCAACTTGATAGCATGATGGCACACTCTCAAGGAGCATTGACAGTCACCTATATGGTATCCAATCCACCAACTGTAGGTGCCGAATGGGAAGGCTTACGTGGACATATTAGTACTAGTGTGTTACAGACATGGTTATCGCATCATGGAATGAGGACTTACGCGGATTCTCCAGTGGTGCAGCCCGACGGAAGAGACAGTCCGACTTTGAGAAATGATGAACTATCTGGTCATTACGATAGATTAGACAGTCTGAAATTAGCTAATAGTGGTCAATACGATATGTCTGATCAACCGGATTTAACTAATCACGAAATGGTTAGTAATTACGATGGAGCACAAGAAATTATCACGACTGACACAGCCTTCCAATCAAAAGGTTCAACTAGCTCTAATTCATCAGGTAGCATGCGACCTCTTCCCCGAATTCCAGCCAGGCAACCAAGTTACGCTTATGGTGGGGTCGGTAGGGTTCCTTCAAGGGGAACTCCATATAATTATCTTAAGATACAGAAAAAAATAGTTGCCTGCGGTCCACCAGCCATGTTGGATAAAGTTGGTGCAAGTTTGAAGGAGATGGGATATTCGGATGATGATTACATACTGCTTTACTGAGCGTAAGGATATTAACTCGCTGAGTTTTGTGTCTAACTAAAAAGTACAAGTATATGCAAAAAATATTCCTAATTTATATTGCCTAATTACCGATTTGTTTCAAGATTGTCTTTCCATCTTACCCTTGTTGAATTTCGGTTTGACTTCTTTCAAATAAATGCTAGCAACATTCAATTGTGTGGACGTTTTATCCCTAAGTTCTACCTTTTTAATATATGGTTACCTAATATTAACATGAATATCATTGTAAGATCCGATATATACCTTAATGAAATCATCTCGGTGTGTCAAGTCTACAGACAATAAAGAGGAAAGGGTTGTTTGAGTGGGTAACGATGACATCGAATATATGCTAAAATTAGTAGTGTTGCAAAAAAGCCGTAATTACAAAAATGTCCGTTATCTATTAATATTGAGTTTAAAACTTGATTGAATTATAGTCAACCATCATTGGTTCTGTTCAGCCAAATTTTTGGCGTTTTGAAGTTTCTTACGCCCATAAAATTTCAAAGTTAGCCGTTTCCATAGTTTGTAAAATATATATTTCAAAGTTACAGCGAGTAGTACTCGATAGACAAATAACGTACATGCACTAAAAGCCTATTATTTACGTTGTTGTGAAATAAATCAATATCAATCCCCTGCATTGAAAGAGTAAAATCTGTGTTCGAGTTACTTCTCGATAATAGTAACCAGACGTGTATATAAAGTTATAACATATCTTCACTCACAGTAATCTTTATTCTAACTTTGACGAAGAGACTCAGTTCCCTTGACACGTATGATAATTCAACGTAGCATGACCGTGCATAAAAGAATCGATGACGACAATTCATAAATTATTTCTCTGGGGTGAAATACCTACAGCCGTGTCGAATTCAGTGAAGTTTGATAATTGGGGGATAAAAAATTGCTTTGACTCAGTAAATGAAATAATGAGAACATTATTCAATAATATATTTGTATCAATTAGTATTACGCCATGTTCGAACTTGGTGACTCGATTAAATTATACTAATTGACCGCAGTGATAACACAGGGTTAAAGTTGGAGTTTGACTCGTAATTACAGAAAGCAAACATCAGCTTGATCCATCCATAAAGATTATTCTTCTTTTCTTTGTAACCTTTAATTTTATTTGCCATCTCCCTGAACAGATTGTGAAGTTTTTCAAGGTGCTTTGTGTTATTTGCTAGCATGTTTTCCTCGTAGCAGTTGGAAGGTTTCGCTGAACGGCCTTTGTGGTAAGTGAGCGGTATGACATATTATTAGGTAAATTATTTAAGGTGGTATCAGTATTAGTTTCAGTACCAATGACACTTGTTAGATAGCATAGTAAAATAGTACTTTGTCTTATTGCAAAGACGTTTGCTGTAAACTTCCAAGTGCTAGAACGATCACTTTTGATAGACTATATCGCGTCTTGCCGTAACTTTGTAGCAGTATGTGAGACGGGATAACTCGGGAGTGAAATGGCAGATATACTAAACCGGTTTATCGAGTGGCTGACTGTGTATGTGTATTTCGAGTCCTTAGTATAAAATGGGAATTTTTAGTGAAAGCATAGTCAAAGCTGTACATGTTCCGTGTATCGAAAAGCATTAATCTATCTACTCTAAAGCGGAATCATGATATTTGATTGGAATGCATGTCGGTCAAGTTGGTAGTGTGTGTAAACTGTGTAAACTGGTCTTTGTGTAATATTTGATTGATGTCAAATTGCACGTGTCTCAAGTTTGCCACATTAGTAAAACAAAGATCCGCAACAGAAATGTAACCTTTTTTAACGTGTGACAAAAGCATCTGTCGTAACAAAGCTGCGTATAATACCGCGCTTCACCACAGATTTGTGGCGTTCTATATATAACTCTGTTTGTTTCATCCAACGTTCCAACTGTATGCTGCTGTGCATTATCTTGTATCAATCCTTTGTGAAGATATCCTAGATATGCCAAATGTGGGTTAGATGGCGCCACGATTACTTTCGCTCTATGCAGAGGATCAATTTCAAGTCTCTCATTCGAGTCACGTATGCATGTGACCTCACGTTTGCAGCGTTGGTTATAAGTCGTGTAATCAATGCTAATACTAATTAATACCCACGATGCCATGAGCGTTGTGGCGCTCAATAAGCATGCCATGCTCGCTCAATATGTAAATATAGTTTGAACTCGGTTATTATATTTTGTATTAGTAGTTAGAATCAAATGTACGCTTTAAAATTCCCAAGCAAGCGTCTCGACACGTTGGCTGGAATAATTATTTTCCGTAATACATCCCCTTAAACAAATTAAACAAGTTGGTTACGGCTGCTAAAACAAACATGTAGTTGAAGAAAGTGAAGAAACAATACGTTGGACAATGCTGTGAACATTTCACTTCACTTGACAATTAGTAGTATGCTTATAATGCACGAGTAATAATAGCGATATCCCTTATCAATAATATAATCATATGGGAATAGTGCTCGTTTGCATACGCCACAAACAAATCATCATTTTTGAATGTTTGACTACGCCTTTAACAATTTCCCCTGCAGTCACACCTCCGACTCCCCCCTTTTTTGGCACACCACCAGCTGTCAATCAGAATAACCAGAAATTTTAATACATCTAGGAACAGACAAGACATCTATTCTTTCATTTCTACATTATAGTTAACTGTGCCACTATGAATCATTATAAATGCACAATGTATTTTTATACTACCCTAAACATACTCTTTAGATCGCACGATTTTTTGATCTCTGGGTCAGTTACAACTCAACTAAACTGAACTGGGGCAACACTCTCGAGCAGCATACCAATGTCCAATCCAACTAATTCTCATCCCTCACAATCATCATTTGATTCAACAAACTCTTATTACCAATCGACGCTGTCAACACCGCGTATGACGACAGATACTGACGATGAGCGAATGAGCATTGAAACCGTTAAGGGCAGGTCATATCAAAATAATAATAAACGTAAACATATACCAAGAAAGACCAATGACGATTGGAGTAAAAGGTTGGTTCAGTTAACACCGGTCCTTTTACAAAACCATATTGATTGATCTCTTAATTACAGTCTTCGTGACTTGTTAGGTCGTTTAATTCAAAACTTAACAAGGAAAGACGTAGTAATACTGGTCAATTCAGCGAGGACGATACCAACCCAAGAGGCAACGGTGGCGGGATTCCGAGAAATTTTGGTAGAAGCTCGTCAGATCATGGTAGTGGTAGAATACCGAGAGGAGGTTACGAGAGCTCCTCACACAATGATCAAACTGATCAAGATGCGGATGAATCGACTGAAGCCGGTGATTATTTAGATGATAACGAAATTGAAGACGATGAATCTGATAATGAAACCAAGGTAATTTGTCTGCAAATTCAAAGCCCCTTTACTCGTAGATTCAAACTGACTTTTTCTTCCGTAGATTGAGGACATGCCTGAGGTCCCGGATAAGGATGACGCAAAACGAACCCCATTTCAGAGGAAATTGTTTTATTTCTTTGAATCACCCAGAGGACGTGCCGCGAAAATGTTCACTGCTTTCAACGCTTTATGCATTGTAGGCACTATAGTTATGATTTGCATTGATACTCTGCCAACATTTGCAACGTCTGATAATCGTACTTTGTGGTGAGTAATGATGGCCTTCAAAGTTAATCGCGTTCTGATACATTCATCTTGTCCGATTACTCACTATATATTAAATATAGGCTTTGTATCGATGCAATTGTGATTGCAACATTTTCTATAGAATATTTGGGCAGATTCTTCGCTTCAGTACACAAACTTAGATTCTTTTTTAGTAAGTCGATGTTTGTTGAGAATATGTGTATGTCAACTGTAATAATTGGGCTTAGCTAATATTACTGTCACATCTTAGGACCACTGAATTTGATCGATTTGATCTCAATCGCTCCATTTTATGTTCAAATATTTATACAAAGAAGACCCGAGGTATGTGTGACGTATTAGCGATTCATAATTGGCATGCATTTCGCTTAATGCAAGCTCGTCTTACAGATATACTCTGGCTAATGATCAACTTCTCTATACTTCGCTATTTAGTCTGCATTTTCATTTTTAAGAATATTACGCTTGATCAGGATAATTCGATTGTTTGACTTTGCAAGACGCTCGGAACAATTCAAGGTAAATCTCGCATGTTTCATTATTGGCTCTCTTCTTTACGCAAGTTTTTCTCACATGTTTTCATTACATCCACCAAAGGTTACAGTGAGAGCGATAAAACGTTCAACCAACCAAATATTTATGGTATCATTTTGGTTCTTCACGGTTCTCCTGTTTTCATCCGGTATCATTTATTTTTTGGAAAGAGGGATTTTTGACGAACAAAACAAGATCTGGTTTAGGGTAAATCCCGAGAGCGGTCAAGTAGAAAAAAGTCCATTCCAATCTATTGTACATTCGTTTTATTGGTCCGTGGTCACGCTAACAACAACTGGCTACGGTGATGCAATCCCATACACCTCGTGGGGAAAATTCTTTGCTGGCGTCACGATGACATGCGGAATATTAGTTATTGCAATGCCGACTTCAATCATTGGCTCAAGCTTTGTTGCTGAATGGACGTTACATCAACGGGCTCAATTCTTGGCTAAACTAAAGAAAAACCGTCAGCTAGTTAAGAATTCTGACGAGTCCAAAATGGCTCTCGCATTGCGAGCCAAATTGCTTCGAAAACAAAACGAGGAACTAGTAGCAGTGATCACAGAAGTGCAAGAAAAGCTATCAGACGTAAATCCAACCCGATACTATCAAAGATATAAAAATTTGCAAATACAATATGAAAATGCACTGGCGAAAATATCCGCATTAGAAGCCTCGTTGGAAAAATGGCGGCGGCTTGCTCGCAATTACGAAAAGTTTAATGATTACCGTCAACGAAGGTATTCAAGAAGCGGCGATAGTGAAGATAACGGTGAGAAAAACTGGTTGTCAAATAAGACAATATATGGGCTGCGTTATCCATTCCGTAGGACGCCTACTGGTTTCTCCACGGATGATGATACAATAGACAATGATCAGTCAATTAAGGAGAAGATATCGTCGGCCACCGAAACAATGGCTAGCAAATCAAAAGACATGATAAAAAATTATACTCCTAATCCTTTCAAGCTGCTCAGCCGATTTAGTCGGACATTATCACTGAGTAATAACGATACCTCAAAATTTCCAGAGAGCGGAATATCCAAGAGTAACATTAGCCTGCCATTCAATCGACGTCCGTTAACGCGGCCTGTTCCCTCGGTTGGCCCAGACTACACTGAATATGACCATCCGGAAAGTGTAATGACTACCCCAGATAGTATTACCGCTCGTGCGTTAGTAGATGAAATGCATCGGTCATCTACTCTGACGAATGAGGAACGTGGCTCGAACAAGCCAAGTATAAGCAGTAATGTATTGGCTGATTTATTTCGGAGGAGGGAGGCTGTAGGAGGAAGCAACTCTTTGAAAACTGGCATTGGCAAAAAAAGAGAATATACAGCAGAAGACGATATATTAAGGAGTGGTGATAAAGGGAAGAGCATTGTTTGGATTGACAATGATACTACTAATAATAATAAGGGCTCTGCAGAAATAGATATAGTTATAGACAGCGGCATTTATAGTAATGGTCAGAGTCGTGAGGACAATAACTACGCACAGTCAGACAAACAATTGAATGAAACTCGTACGGACTCGTCGATTTTTTACGACCCACTTCACGATCAAACAAAATTTGAATCGCCGCCATCAGACTGAATAATTCGACCAAGTAACTTGAAAGAAAATACAATAGAGGATTGGACAAGGGGGTTTGGTCCAGGTTATGGAAGGATAATCTCTGACATCAACTAAACTACATGTCAAAATTCTCGAGAACATTGCTATTATTATTTAATCTTAATTCATAGACGATAAACTTTAGAAGTGATAGTTAATTCATAAGATTGCTAATAGGTTATATATGGTCAATCGGATAATTTTTAGATTTAATTGTTATGTGACTACTTAATTAAGCCTTCGAAAAGTATTATAAAATGTATAAAAAGTAAATTTGATGAAGTTGCTGGTGAAATACTTTTTTGTTTAAAGCAAATAGTGGCAGGGCATTAATTCAGAGATTCACAAATAGCGTAAGAATATGAAACAATATAATAACCCGTTAGTATCCTATTTTGGCCAAACGGTTTTTCGATATAATGGCAGTGTGACTTTGAGCATTCAAAGGCGAAAACCAATGGCTTGAATTTCACGTGATTCTACATATTTGTTGAAATGGCAAGACGCGACAGATGTTAGTAAAATTAATGCAAAATTAATAAACCCTTGTAGACATAAAGTGTTAACATTATGCACAGTTTGACAGCTGGTTAAAACTTCCAATGATGGTGGAGACTACCCTTAACTTTGCGAAGCAAGTTTTGGAAAAAAAACAATATGCTTACGCTTATAAAAAAATATAAAAGCAAGTTAGCTTTAGATTAATCAAATTCTATCTTCTTCTTAGATACGAACCCGTCCCTATTATAGATACACCAACGTTCGGAGAACTGATGTAAAACTAAGCGATGAAAAATTGGCAAACGAGTTTACAACAGAAAGTGATATAAGTTATATACGTAATATAATTCGACGCTTAGATGATTTAGAGAAAAGTCAAAACGCCAAAACTTTATTAACAGTTTATTAACCAATAAAATTGCATGCTTTAAATAACGCTGCCTACACATACAGTGTGACACGAAATTATGATAATGAAAAAAAGGGTTATTGTCAGCCAACAACTGTACCAATCATTATCATTAATATCTCGTTTAATAGCTTAAAAGAAGTACATTTATTTAAAAAGTTTTAATATGGAATTCGGTTCCCATTTTTTTCTATGACAAGCCTACATCTATCTCTCATCGAATTAACTAAATTAATTAACATAGTTTTCGGAATCGAA